AACAAAGGTTGCACCTCAAAACATTGGAAAACGCCAAGTTTGCACTCAAAGTATCCACAAAAACGGGTGAAAAGGGGTAAAATTCTGTTGCAAAACATGTTAAAATTGTGTGGGTAAATGAAGTATGTAGGGCATACTCTTTAAGTTGTTCAACAGCAAAGGGCCCTGATCCCTGGTTGCTGAATAATCCCCAGCTTCAACTCTGATCCCAGGATCATTATTTTCATCTCAGTTGAAAAACGAGAAAGCTTCCTTGAGATGCTGAAAAATGATGTTTAAAAAAAAAACTGCCAGAAGTGTCAGTTTTGGTACACGTCTTTTTCTTTTTGGCTTCCTTTTTCTGGCCATCATCAATGGTTACCCCAAGTCCATCCCCAAATCAGCATCGATCGCCGTGTTTTAAAGCCATCATGGCCGCCATGGCCGCGACAAGACACGTCGCCCACCTGGACCTGACGAACGGGAACCAGTTGCGGCGAGGCGTTTTGAATGGGGGGAACGTTATGTTCAGAATGGGGGCAAGTTGAGAGAATTCATAACAGGAACTCTAACATTTCCAAAATTGATATAGACTTGTATGTTAGACATAGGTGAAGTTCAGAAGCGAAACGAACTGGAAAAACAAATGAAAAAAACAATATGATGCATGTATACTTATTCCAGGGGTTGCAAAAACTCGTGATACATGAAGATTAAACAGATATATGCTTACCACACGTCTTTTGAAAGATGAAAGGAACAGAAATGTGATGAAAGATGACTCTTGAATACTCTTGCTATATACCATGTACAAGTAGATAGACACATGGACGGATGGACAGATATGGATCCGGGATCAAATGAGGTCATCACGGTCATCCCAAGTTAGCCGTTTTTCGAACTGGCTGGGCTTGGATCAGCCACTTGACATTGGAACGTTGGGTGATTCTCTTTACTAACCCCGGATTCATCAAGGCTGCTTGGTTTGTTCAACTTGTTCAAGCCAAAAATGTGGTGAATGATGGCACGAGCTCATCAATCCGTTGTTCCCCTTGCATGTGCATCTCAGTTCTTCGTAAGTGGTTTTGTTTTACATATTTTTAACATTTTACAAGATAGGGATATTCCATGATATTCCATGATATTCCATGTACAACTGGGCTAGAAATGGCTCGAATACATGGATTTGCTCAGCCCAAAAGAGACAAAAACCACAAATCCCCAGAGATTCGCCGGTGATGAAAAAATCCCGCAGCAAAACAAGCCACGCCTGGGAAGTTTTCACCAACAGAAATGGGCATTCAATCCAGCAATGGGCAGAATTTCTGCTATTTTTCACCAGAAATGATGATTGAACAAGAAGAACTGGGCATTCTGGTCCCAACGCAATTGGAGGATCCACAATTCTGGTTCCACCGAGTCACCGGAGATCCCAGAATTTCCAGTGAACTGAGTGAACTGTTAATTCTCGCCAACAATTCCCATATATTATGTTCCTATAAAACTCATGAAATGAGGATTTTATGATTTTTTGTTGGTTCCTTAAACTATGAACTGTGAAATGTTTCGATCTTTGTGGCTTTTGTGAGGGTTCCCCAGATCCCGGATCCGCACGGTCACATCGAAATAGTGACTGAGTTTTCCCATGAAAAATGCATGGTGGATCTTTCCAGTTCGTTATTACCAGGCCGGGTACATAAAAATTCTTCCCTTTTATAAAGATATCTAAATATCCAGGGAGTGAAGATGCTGCTGGTGATGAATCAGTAGACCTGGGATCAAAACATTGAAGCAATCCTACAGAAGGAGAGTAGGATTGGCGGCTTGTTTTTTTTCCAGGCGTATTTTAACGATTTACCATCTGGTTATGACTAACATAGCCACGGTATAGATGGCCCATAGAAATAGATGGTTTACCTATTAAAATGGTGATTTTCCATGACTATGTTAAATAACCAGGTGGTAAACACACGAGTTCGAAAGAAATCTATTCAGATTGCGTTTTTTTCCGGCACCAAGAGGTCCAAGAAAACAACCACGGGCTGCACCTGCTGCCACATCAGAAAGTGCCACAGTGCCGCCATTGTCCTAGCCCAGAATCGGGGGTGAATGGCAGGGGAAAAACAAGGCGTTTTTATGAAACATGACCAGATCCCTTGGAACCCCAGACTGGAAATTGCATACTGCAACATCTGTAAGAAGCGTTTTTAGGACTTATGTCAACGTGATTCCAACTTCGCTACGTTTGTTGAACACGCAGAAGTTCACACTGAACGCAAAACGAAACGTTTGCAGTTGACATCCCAACATCCCGGGATTCGTTGAGATTTTTTTATCTCTTGATCCGAAGTGGTGATTTGATCACCCAAAATAGGATTTGAAGGTGGGTGTTTTGTGACACCCTGTTGGTGTTGGATCTTCTGCGCCATCCGATGGGCTTTCAAACATCCCCATCGGATTGTTTTTTATGATTTCCGTAGTTTCCATGGATGTCTACGGCTTTCAAAGCGTTAACATTCATACTATACCCATATGCTCCATGTATTGCATATTTACCAACATTTGCCCAAAAAGACACCCAAATGTAGGTAAATATACCATACATGGAGCATATGGGATAGGGATGGATCTTCTATTCGATGGATGGAAGGCCTTTCCATCGGAGTCCAGGTCAAAGATCTCGGCCCGAGCCGTGTGCGATCGAGAGTGGATGGATGTCCTCGGTGAAACTCAAACGGTGGCTTGAAAAACTGGGAGGTCGAAGCACCGAAATAGTGACGTTATCTGGTTGGTGGTGCAAGAACCATCTTGAAAAATATGAAAGTCAATGGGAAGGATGACATCCCATATATGAAATGGAAGATAAAAAATGTTTGAAACCACCAACCAGTTATATTAGTCACTCGTGATAATGGACCATATATGATAATAGATGATAATGGATAATTTGCAATAATAGAGGATAATGGATGATCATGGATGATTATATAGATGATAATAGATGATATCATGATAAGTAAATCCGACAATAGATGATAATACATGTCCATTGACAAACTTGGGGGTCATCACTAGTCCTTTGTGGGTCCAGAATGCTACCATTGACTCCTACAATGGGTTAATGTTCAAGCCCAAACAGAAGATGTACATCTTCAAATGCGATTCATTTCAGGTAATGTGGTTAAAACAATAATAAACCATCCCCAAAATCACCATTTTTATGGGTGATATTAACCATAAAACATGGTGTGGTCTATGACCTTGTTTTAACCACATTCATTCCAGTTGTCACATCTGAAAGAGCTGAAGTTTTCCTCATTCCCAGCAGAATCATCGCTCGACATGAGATGGTCCGGTGAAACATCAGCTGGAAAGTCAGTTGAAATATCCAGCTGTAAGAATAAATCTGAATCTTAGATCATCATCATCATCATCATCATCATCGTCGTCGGAATATTTTATAGATTAAATCTACTATCTGGGTTCATCCAACAATTACGGTATACTATGGTATACTTCCTACAGTAAATCCTTTAGTTTATCACTGTTTTCCCTATTTTCACAATATACCCCATTTTCAGACACACCCAAATATCATACCAAGTGTGCTCTATAATATGTATATATATATGATATATGTATGTATATATAATATGTATATATATATAGGTATCCCCAATATGGAAAAGCCATCAAGATCCAACCATGAAGCCATAGACCCACCCGAGCTTCCGGCAGTGAGGACGACTCTGTCGGGTGGACCTCACGAATCGGAATGGATGGGGATGGGGATGGGTAGGGTGCTGGGCGTTCTACACCTGAGATTTTGCAAACAAAAATGGAGATTGAATTGTCAAAGGTTGGGATCCAACTCTCAAAAAAGGTGATCTAATTAACATTAATTAACTATCTAATATTGATCTAAGATTCATCTAATATTGATCTAATATTGATCTAATATTGATCTAATATTGATCTAATATTGATCTAATATTGATCTAAGATTGATCTAAGATTCATCTAATATTGATCTAATATTGATCTAATATTGATCTAATATTGATCTAATATTGATCTAAGATTCATCTAAGATTGATCTAATATTGATCTAATATTGATCTAATATTGATCTAAGATTGATCTAACATTGATCCAATATTGATCTAAGATTGATCTAATATTGATCTAATATTGATCTAATTAACTATCAATAATGGAGATTGAACCGTCAAAAATGGACGGTGACATCTTGATTGATGATCGAACCCTCACGTCTAAATGCGCAAACAAAATAGGGATCGAAACATTCCGAGAAATTTTGATCTTACTTAGTAACTGATTCAAAATCGGGATCGAACTGTCCATAAATCCCTATTATTATGATTATTATGATATCTTCTTGGTAAATCATAATAATTCACTAATCTGAAACAAGGCCATTTGGGGATAATTCCCCTTACTAACCATGATTCCAGGGCTCGGTCACAGTGAGGTCACTATAATTTACCCAGATATCATCTGCCCCACTCGCCTTGAAAAAAGCTGTGCCAACACGCGCCTTTTCACCATGGCAGAATCCATGGGCACAACGAAATCACCGCTCCATCGGAAATCTTCCAGAGTGGAAGCGAGACTTCTAAGCCTCTAGGCTAGGAGGATCATCCCAGGTTTCAGGCTGTTGAATAAAGATCAATAGACACCTGAAAGATTGGAGAAATCTATGTGAACTCTGGATTTCATATTTCATATGATTTTTAATATCTTTATTACATTTTATTACCACTAAAGATGGACAAATTCGGTCGCTTAAAATGCGCTTATCCATGGTTATGAAGTTATGGTCGTAACTAGCTACCATTTCAACTGGCATGATCCTCCGGGTTGGCACCACTTATGGTGCCCCAAAAATCCTCCCCTGAATAAACAGGTTACCAGTCGGATTCTGTAGTCCTTCTGGCTGATTTATTGGTTGAATTATGTTGATTTATTGATGACTTCTGGTTGATTTATTCCAAAATATTCCAAAATCATCCCCCTGGCAACCGCGGGGTCAAATCGACCAAACGCTATACATTGAAGCAGAAATTACCCCGCTCGGCTCCACTGGTAGTTCGTGGAGTCAAATCGATCGAAAGCTATACATCGCATCAGACCTTGCCCCTGCTCTGCGGTCCACCGCGTTTTTACGTGCAGGTCAACTACAAAAGAAGGGGCAGTCTGCTGTCTGTACATATCAGTGGGATTCCTATTAATCCAACAAAAGCATGCAAAGGCAACTGGTGTGTATACATTACATGAAACACACAAGTAAAGTTTTAAAGGTCACCTCAACTCAAACATCTTGAGGCTTGAACTTGGGATGCATCACCATGCCGCGATTTCAAACGAACATCAATTCCTTATTCTCACAGCAGAAGTTGCATCCCTACTAGACTGTGAACAACTCATCATTTCATTCAAACCTTTTTCGTCCCTTCACTCGATCAGTGAAGGGCTTCTGCAACCAGGTACTCACCAACGTCACAGATTCAAACCTACAGGGCCGTCTACCTTTGGGGTAGACTGTCTCTCATGTGCTGTCTGGGTGGGTCAATTTGTCGAAAGCGTCTGGACCTTTCAAGTAGTTTGAGAGAGTATTGTACATGCCTCCTTGGTACTCAATACTAAACTAATAGCATCTTTTAGGCCAAAAAAAACTTGATATTTTCGGACCCCAAATGGCCAAATGGCCACCAACCACTGTCGCAAGTGCGGAGATTAACCTTGACATGACGAACTGAAAATAGGAACAAACAAGAGAAGCACCTTCTGTTGGTAACTTAGTCAGACTTAGTCTTCACAAAAACGCGGAACAAACCAAGACTTGGGAGTCACGGTCGCTTCCCTCCAGAAAAAAAACATGGCGATTTTGCAGCATAGAACGTGTTTGGACAAACCCATAGTGTTGCTTATGTAATATACATATATACATATATACATATATACATATATACATATATACATATATACATATATACATATATACATATATACATATATACATATATACATATATATATACACATAAATATTATACCAGGTTCATTTCCATTATACCTGTATTTAAAAAAATGTTGGTTTACCCAGTTTTGCTGTTGAAATACACCATGTTTGACAAAACCCACATTCTGTCATTTCCAGTCCATTGAGTATCACTATAATGTCACCCTGTGTCATCATCACATTCCACAAAATCCCCTCCATCCCCGGTCTCCATGGTCGGTTTGATAGCCCCACTTTTGTCACTTCAAGCGCCGCCGTACATCGACTGTCGAGCTTCGTTGAATCCCCATAAAGATTGCTGTGAATCCCATTCAAATCCCCATCTTCCCATGGAATGCTTGGAGTCACCCTCTGAAATAATCTCCCATTTCCGTACTTCCCTAAATCTTTGTTGGGTCCCGCCATTTCGCCCCAATCTCTCCCGAAATCATCCCCCATTTCCTGGTGAAATTTGGGTCGCTCGTCCAGCAACTTTCCACCCACCACGACCTCCGCCGTCGCTTCCGCATCCAACGTCAACAGCACCGCACGGCCGTCCTTCGTGGCCACTGCGCAGCGGCCTCCGTTGGCCCAGAGGACCGTGCCCGGGGCGCGCGGGGCGCGCGGGGCCAGCTCCGGCAACAAGGCGCCTGGGCGGGAAAGGTTGGCGCCATGGGGAAAGATCCCAGATTTTTACAAGAAATCAGATTAAATAACTATAGCCCATGGATCTGATAAGCCATGTGCTATCTTATCATTATTGTGATCCACATATTATGATCCATTTTACAAGCCATGTGGATGTTTGTGGATATGATATTTCACTATAGCCTTTGGTAAACTAACAGGTTGCTATTGAAGCCATGGCCCACTGATAGTGGATTTACCCAATTCTATAGCTGATTTTCCAAAGATATGGGGATGATAAATGGGGATGATAAATGCGGATGATATATATGAGATGGATGGAAAGATTACCAACATTGTTTTTTCATGGGGACGTATCTTATAATCCAATTTGGGAGACATTCATAGATAGAAAATCCAGCAGATTTACAGAAATGGGGATAGATTCAAACAACTTGAACCATGTTAGACGTGTGAAACAATGGATAGCAATGATAACTTAATTTTGAGTTGCTCAATTTCCAGAATCTAAGATTCATGTTTAAGAATCACAATTTATATTCCCATCATTTTATCCCGGTGTTTCTTGCCAAAACTTCAAAAGTGAATAGAATGGAGATGTAACACATTATGCAATCATCAAAAAATAAAATAAAAAAGTACAGAAAAAAAACTGAGATAAAATCGTGACTTATAGCGGTACAATAATTTCTCATACAGCCAGAAATATGTATTTCACCCAGAACATGTTGGACTTAAGATGATTGCACCGGCAAAAATTAGAATTTAGGCTTGGGTGATCTGCCCACAAACAGTGAATATTAAAGGTCAACAGGGGGCAATACTAAAGATATGCTGATCCTGGTGGTCACTGCAAGATATAGTTTCCATCAAACACTTGTAAGTATGTGTTGACATATACATAGTTCACACGTAAAAAGGCGTGGTGCAAAATATGACAAAGAAATACAAAGAATGTGTGTTAATATATGTAACTATATGGTCCTATATGGTAAGATATCACATATCAGTTGAGGGTGAGGTGGTCATCCAACATTTGGGTCAAATCTCTGGGCATGGCTTTGGATCTTCCACAATGGTCCAAAGGGCATCAAAAATCCCAACCGTTAATTGGCCAAAGCGCAAGGTTTGAGGGTCAATGATAAATTGACATATTGATATATATATATATACATATATATATATACATATATATATATATAGTCACATATGGCGGCTGATCTAAATTCCTTTATCTGCAAACGGCCATTCTTCGCAAATCAAAAATCTACTTTCGCGAATCTTTCGGCGGGGGTCTCATGTTGGAATCCTGGCGGCCTTTGTAATGGACAATCGAATAACATGGACCTTTAGATCGACCATCATATAAATTTCCCCATAATGATTGTGCCATAATGCCATAGTTCATATATATGATTATATATATTTATATGTGATTATAAATTTCCCCATAATGCCATAGTTCATCCATTACTCATGCTGGTGTCCGGCGAAACAACCCCCCCCGTGTTTTTGGGGCAAGGTACAATGTGTCACGCGGCAAGGTGCGGCCTCATAGTCCGTGAACCTTGATGCAGGTTGATGGATTAAGCCCATCACCCTAATATTAAACACACCACAAATGGTCCCAAAAAAATAGTAATAGTTGATCCATAAAATAGTTGATACTGATATTACTTGAATAATAATAATAATAATTATTATTATTAGTTGGACTAGTTGGATTTATAGTAAAGAATAGTATTCATAATAATAGTGATTGTGCATGAAATAAACCATCCAGCTATTGGGGATTTCCCATTTATGGAAACCCCATTGTCACCAAGTATTAACCATTATTAACCATTAGTAACGTTAAGTAATAGTGATTGGACTACTAATAATGAACTAATAGTGATTTTTGGGTGATGAATGAACATTGTTAACTAAAATGACTTATTGATTAAAAACAGTGATAGTGACTGGAATCATGTTGGTTCCTTTCAGTGGACAATTTGGGTTATCAACAATCATTTTCATCAAGCATTTCAGAAATAAGGATATATGCCAATCAGCAAGATATCAACTGGTGGGTAAGCTCAAGTCATCCCAAATTTATTGAACTGGAATCATCTTCCCCGGGCTGAGATGAAAAGTGAGGAATTGCGGTAGGTTCTTCCCTCAGCCACCAAGGTGGTTACAGGTAATGACATGATGCTGGTGCCAACATGGATCCTACCCGCCAAAGCTGAGGAAATCAACCAAAGCTTACAGTTGTACCCAGAATGTACCCAGAATTCCGATATCTTCTGCCATATGTTCTCCTGCTTGGGTGTTCATCCTAGTGATTAACCGGGCACCATGCATTCAGTGGATATGATATAAATATATAAACCATGTGCGATTCCTTCTCACCCAAAAATGCACCTCTCACTGCGGGAGAACCCAAATTCTTTTCAGGCAATGTTTGTTACAGAAAATCCCCTGGCACTTGCTTCTAAATTGCCATTTACAACAGGGTTGAACCAAACAGTATTGGTTAGCAACCCAAAGATGGGAGAAATGTCTGGGGACCTTTGCTTCATGAAACCATTTCATTCGTGGTTTGGATGTCTGATTTCTGGGGCTAGCACATTTTACTCACAACCATCTTCCATTTCACAGTTGCATCACATAAATTCGAGGTTTATGTGGCTTTACCATGGTTTTCTTCGATCCTCCTGTAGTTTGGCATTGATCCCATCTTCCTGACTGCCCATGAAAAGTTGGGATTTCCCATTTAAGTCATCCCGTTTTTGAACATTAGAATTTCCCATTTATCCATGTGGAATTATCGGAGGCTACCCAGTAAACAATAAATAGATGTTCCACCTCTTTTTGTATGTGTTTTTCCATTGATATCGCCAATATCCCCAAGTAAATCTCAATCTTTGTAAACTCCCGGTTCTTCGGCACGGTCAGTTCTCTCACCTTCGGCACCGTCAAGGCGCAGTCCCTTGAAGCCTTGCACTGTGAAGGCTCGACAGGCACGCTCAATGTCCACTGCGCTATCTTCCTCCCACTCGATACGCACGCGCGAAAGGACTCCTGCAACAACTCAGCTGTGGCTGGAGGTGACCTGCGGGGCGGAACCAAAAATAATAACAACATATAACAACCATATATAACATGACAGGCATATTAAATGGTTATAAATACATACACAATAAATGGATATTAATATTAAATGGATACAGTAACACAATTATAACAGCCATATATAACATGATGATAAATGATCTTACTACAAACATGGTTTGCATGTTAAATGTTCTTACCCACTTTCGGTGCCTGGGATGCACAAGTGGTGAACCAGCCTGTCACTTCTGATCGGAAAATCCTGCTGCAGAAGATTTCCCGATACGTTCAACGGGGGGTATCCCTCTTCTCCATCTAAGAGTATCTTGGAGTTTACAAGGTAGAAATTTTAAGCAAGGCTACCAGTGCTACTAAGCAGCTACTAAACGGGATGTACATTAAAGTAGCTGTGCTGGAACTTTTTGACTTGGCTGGTGGGGATGGGGACTGGCTACGTCCCTTTAAAAAAAAAAAACTCCTTGGTTGAGAACGGAATTCCCACAAAGGATTGTGATACTCCCCAATATATAGTGTTGGTGTCAATATATTGATGATATTCCCCTAAAGGATTCTGATATAGTCCTGCATAATCATCAACCAACGGAGGTTTTGAACACTGCTCAAGTGCAGTTGGAAGCAAGCGACCAAAGGCTTCTGAAGCGCTGATGGCACCCGTGTTCACAAAACACTACCTTGTAAATGCTAGCATTGGTGTGCACTGAACACATCTTGTAAATCTATATCTACATCTGTACATATATATATATATATTATATTATATATATTATATATATATATTGTGAACAAATTGATCCTTGTTCTGGATTATCCCTTTCGTCTGTAGTACCAGTAATGCTGATAGCGCCGGGCAATCTCAGTGCATGGCATGCGGACAGCGTTCTTATTTTCCTCGCGCAGGACTTGAGCCAATATCATTGGCGGTCCATGCATGACTGTACACATGTTCATCATGTGCAGCTACACTGTTACCTCGTTCCCCTTCGCACCCCCCATGCCTATGGCGTCTTCGAACCATAGGCACGAGAGTGGGAACTTTGAATTAGATTCTTCTGCTACTCGAATTACGCCTATGTACATAAAACATGCCATTCGGCTCCCCCTTCCCCACATACCCGTCGGGAATAATGGTTCAGGGTTCGCCTACTCCTTGGCTGTCGATGCATCGACGCTTCATCAAGCTGTACAACGCGAATTATTGCTAGCTAACATCTACTTTTCTACGTTGGCTAAGCATGCCACTCACCCGTCGGGAGAAATGGATCGCCTCGCTACCAAAGATTTACAATGCTAACTAACGAATTCACGTGCACAATGCAGAATCTCGTGCAGATTGGGAATATCAAAAGTCTTGAACCTAAGCGAATTAGTCTAATGCCTCGCTCAGTGTCCACTCAGTTGGTCTTTTCCTGATCATCTGTTCATAAAGACGGTAAACATCTTGTAGCCCAGTGATCATTTTGACGGATCGAAGCAATTGGTTTACTGCTCACGGCGGACTTTCTTCCATTGAGGTGCTGTTGGAGTTCTCTCCCATCCTGCCGCACGTTTCGGAGCAGCTTTCGGCGATGAAGGCTTTGCAGGCGGTGCCTTTGATGGTTCATGGGATTTCGGCAAGCCTTGCCCTTTGGTGCGCTAGCCGATGAGGATGATGCTGAACCAGTGCCTTCAGGTGTCTGTGAAGGTTGTGCGGGTGGTTTAGCAAACTTGGAAGCTGCAGTATGTCCAACCGCTTTGAATACTTCACTCACCACTTCGTCGCCAAGGGTTGGAGCCATCTTCGTTTTCATCTCGGTCTTTCCCCTCTGCGCCTCGGCCTCGGCCAGCTGAATAGCATAAGCCATCTTGCTGACAAAGTTTTGAGGTAAAGGAATGCCACATTGTTGGGCGGCAAAGAGCAGTTCTACTCTCTGTTCTTTCTCCCTCAGGCTCAGATATACCGAGAAAGCTGGGAGTTCGATGCAGTTGGGGAAGCCGTGGCTCCCGGAGCGAAAGAAGGTGTATGACTCGTGCTCCGGAAAGGTTCCTTTGAGCAGTCGTCGAAGGAAATTGCTGATGGTTACTCGCATCTCCTGTTTCCCTTGGGCATCAGCCTGCATTCGGTTCATTGGCATGAGAAAGCCTAATGACTCAGGAGTGTACCCGGCGCGTACCAGAAATTCCATCATCTTCTCATAGATCTCTAAAGTCTTGATGACAGGCATCATCATGTTTCTTGGTCGCCCTGAGTACAACTTCTCTCCTTCTGACCATGAATTCCTCTTCCCTTTCTCCTGAAAGAGTTCATCCAACTCCAGCTCCGTCGGGCGCTTGAGGTTGCCATCCTGGTCTTCTCCTGTATAAGGACAGAAGTCGTCCAGGTCCAGCCGGACTCGCTTGGTTTCCGTCATCATCTCATAGTACTCCTCTGGGGTCAGAGTGACTCTCTGTTTGTAGTAGAGCCTGAACATTGTGATGATCTTTGACATGACGGCATTGTCATACAAGTGAGCCGCGGCCTCGGAGACATCATTGTTGATAAGTCCGTCTTCTGGCATACCCTTGCTGCCGCTCTCGAGGTTCTTGGTCCATGCTGGAAGTTTGGAAGAGGATTCATCTTCAGGTTCGACTTCCATTTCATCGTCGTCTTCTTCAACGATTTCGTCGTCTTCCTGTTGGGCTTCCTCCTCCTGATCCATTTCTTCATCATCGCCTTCGTTGTAGTCGACCTCGTCGGGATTGAAGCCATAGTCGTTGGATTCGGATACGTTTTCTTGTGCTTGATGGACCGTATCCTTGAACAACGATTCTTCTTGTCGACGAACTTCTTCATCGATCTCTTTCTTCGTGGCCTCATCTTCATCGTCTTCAGGAGCTTGTAGCCGATAGGGACGGATTCCACAACTTTCAAGTTCCGTCCAGCAAACTAGACACACTGCTAGTTTTGTCGGCGTCTCATTGAGACAGTGAGGACAATGGCGGCAACCTGATGTTTGCACCCTTTTGCGTTCGACTATGTAGTCAATCAGCTTGATGCGGGCCAGGTATTGCTCTTGTCCGCCAGGCTCGATGAGGTTGTTCTTGAATTGGTTGACGATGTTCATGGCATCCATGGCGGTTTCGTCAAACGGTTGATCTTCGGCGTCGATGCACTGACTTGCAACCCTCAAGATGGACTCCTTGGTGGCTACCGTTCTTGATTTGATAGTTCCAGACCGGACTACCTGGTCGTCGCCCGACGGGACGAACAACCGGAGCCATGTCTTATTGTTTTGGTCCTTTGGGTCCTGAATCCATCCTCCTTTGATTGCCGAGAACGGGATGATCTTTGGTGAGACGATCTGTCCCGAGTCAGTCAGTCGACCGCCATATTCCACCATCAAGGTCTCGGTCGGGACGAACAAGCAAATGTAGTCCCCTCTTCGCGTATCAACGCTCTTCGTGATGGTCCATGATCTGTGATCCCATGGCACATACGGGTTGAAGAACGTGAACATCCGATGACCTTCTCCAAGACCTCCTGGAATTAATCCTTGCCTCCAAATGCTTCGAAGGTTGGTCTTCTTGGTGATGTGGAAACAAACCGGTAACGACAAAATGGTGTTGGGCGCGATTGGATGTGAAAGTAATGAGGACAGCAATGAGACGTCGTCCCTTGAAGATCCTTCTTTGTGCCCCGTAGGAGCACGGACCGCCACAGGGTAGAGCAGTAGACCTTCATCAGGAATGTTCGTGTCCGCATCGACTTTGTTGTCAATGCACGTCAGGCTGGTGCGCTCAATGTCCTTGTTGATACCAAATGCCAAGACTTGTTCACGAACGCGACGTCCATACCGGGCACAGTGGAACATGATCTTGAAGAGCAATGTCATGCGGTAGTTTGCCTCATCGACATTCCATGCATTCTGATCATTTGCTCTTCCTTTTGGAGCAAGGAATACATGTGGCCAGCGTGCGTACTCGTGCCTCCAGATGGACTCACATTTGAGCACCTCCTCGATGGGCACCCAGCCGGCGTCATCACATGACAGACTCTGTTGTTCTGATACCTTCCCCACGTTGTGCCGCAGGATCCTGTTTAGTGATGAACTCACCTTGTCCTCGTAGGTATTGAGCCGGTTGCCAGTCTCGAAGCGGTAGTTGGCCGCATATTCTACACCTCCAAAGTAAGAGCAGTTGAAGAAATGGGCCCCCGTAGTCGGGATGATTTTCAAGAAACCATCTTGCGGCGCCTCGACTCTCTTGTAGAAGGGCTTCCTGATGTTGTTATCAGAGTAGCTTGCCATGAAGTCTGGCACTGACCAAGAGTCACCTCCTCCTCTGACAATAGCGTCTCTGACCACTTCGTTGAGGTCAACAATGTTCTGTGGTCCTAGCTTTGTAACATCACGTCCTTCTATGCAGAATCTACCATACTCATCGAGGTCACCAACTTCAGACATAGTTCTGATGCTGTCGTACCATTGGTGTTCGCTAAACCTCGATTTTGTAGGTTCATCCGTTTGCCCCGACCCATCAGTAGCACCTGAACCGTCCTTCTTGTGTTCAGGAGGCTCCATATCGACGTCATCAGATGTTGGACTATCAGCCTCGAGCGACGCTCGGACGGCCTTTAGCACCTTTCTGACTTCATCCCTCTTCTCATGTTCACATTCAAGATGGCCATGTTGGGTGCTACCACAATACAAGCACACGTTGACATCCTCAGAGACGGTAAAGAGTTTTCCCAACGCATCCAAAAGTTGCTGTTTCCCGGAATTCTCTGAGTCCCTGACCACATCGGTGGGGTCGTTCGCTGGCTCATCAGCTTCCTCCTCCCCAGGGTGAGCCGACGACTCGTCACCTGGCTTGGCATCGGCATCAGTGCCCATGCTGGCGTCACCCCCTGTGATGTTGTTCTTCCTGCGATAATGAGAGAATACCTGATCCTTCTCCCAGTCCGTGAGGCAGCAGAAATTGGCCAGCGAGTCATA